GAATACATACTTTGACACTCTAAACCTGAGTTCCCCATCCAAATGCAATGCCAACAATAAATTTTATGAAACAAAATATGCAATTATTTTTTTGTGTTTCATTTAGTGAAAATCATAGTGGTTTCATTTGCCAATCGTACAAAATCCCCAAGAAAATAAATGAAAATTAAATAAATAAAAAATCTAGTAGCAGAACAAAAACAAAAAAATAGGCAAAAATCGAAATATAAATAAGAAAAAACTGAAATGAATTATTGATTTTCAATTTTCTATTTTTTATTTCAGTTCAAATCAATTATTCATCGGTGCATTGTTTATGTTTTTGAAAACGATGCAAAATCTAAATAACAAATAAAAGCGAAATAAATTCAAATTGAAGTGAAATAAAGAAAAAAATAAAAAAACAAAGAGAAAAACAAAACAAAATGCGGAAAAATGTCTCATGTATATGTATTTGTATTGTATGTAATGTACTACCGTATAGTAAGTTAAGTAGTTAATTTTAAGTAAAAAATGTATTAGAAAATTTGTAATTGATTTTTTAGAGAATATTTTTTAAATAAATGTTTTAGTTTAGTTTGTCATTGATTTATAGTAAATTCGGTACGAAATTGTTTTTCTTGGTTGTCAATGGGTGGAAAGAGTTAAAGGGCTATCTAAATGATGAACATAAGCACCACTTTTTTCTGCTGCGAATTTTTATTGAATTTCAGAACCTGCAGTGCAGGGAGAACGTTTACTAAAATGTAATAGAACAATTTAAATGGAATCAGTCGGTATTGCCGACAGGTGTATACCCTCAACCAATGTTCGATTTTTTAATTATTTTTTGGCTTCTATTATGATTATTCAAATTGTTGACCCTCTATGGAGCGGGTTCCGAAGGAATGGACCAATATGATATTGTGACGTGAGACGTGAGGGTGGGTGAGGTACCAGACTTCACAACAGATCTTGCGATAGAAAAAATATTTGGATGAAATTTAGATGATTATTTCGCCTTCTTTCAGCGTTTTGTTTTTCAAAATACTCAACCCTATGTGGGGGAGGTGCCAGAAGAAATGGTCCGAGCTCTACCATCCTTATAGCTGATCTTGTGTTGATGGAAATATTGCGATGTACCAAGTCTGAATGGAATCGGATGTCAATTTTATGTTTGATGGAAATTTTGCATGAGGGTTCCTCTTTGGCAAGATTTTTGCAAATTCGTACTTGAAGGTTGCAAACAGTGTTGAATGATAGACAATTGTTTTAAAAGTTTCAAAACTGTGATTGAGCTATAACGTTGAGAGTTTTCAAGTAACTCACTATTTATGCAACGAAGCGGAATCCAATAGTTTTCATAACTTCACACTTTTAGGGTCTGAAAAGCACTCAACGAAAGAAAATGAAGAATAAATTTTAGACAGATTTTGAAAAAGAATACATTTACACAACAAAGTTAACATACATTATTTAAGGAGTCGAAACCCAAATTCAGGCAAATTTAAAATCAAATCTGCATACTATACTGGAGAGTATTTAAATGGTTCATATCTATGCGTTTTTGGTATTTAAATTTTTTATTCGGTTTGGTCGAAATTCGACATTTTGTGTCGAATCGGTAAGTAGAAATCATGCTTGCAAGAATTTGTCAACTAAGCGTGTTTCTTTTTTTTTAATTATCCCCTTTGAAAGCATTAGCAACAATTTGCAATTTGATTATGAAATTTGGCAAAAAAAAAAATGAGATTCATCTGATATAACCTGGATATCTTCGACCGAAAATCCCCATAGCTGCAAACGACTAGAACCTAAACACCAACATCAAAGTTTCTAATAACCTATCACTTGTCAGCAATAGCCGATCATTCATTAGAATTCCCGATACATTGTACTGTATATCAACACTGAAATTCCCAATTGCATATGAGTCGTCGGAAAAACCCAATTGATCAGATCAATGTAATTATCAATAACAACTGAACATTTATATTTAAACCCCAAATTATCTCACGAGTCTATGGTCATCAACTGAGCTAGAACAGAGCTCACCTCTGTGCATGTAAAATCACGTTACATTAGAGTCGCCAGCAAACAATTAGTTCTTGACAACATTACAACAACGAAAACATGGAGTCGTCCTACATAATATTGAGAACACATCGTTATTATGCGTCATTTCTAGAGAGACCTCACTGTATTTGTTTCTCAATTGATACATGGCACAATGAAGAGAAGGTATGTCAACTTTGAAAAAATTGCAAGTATCCTGTAAGTACCTGTTTGGCTTGTAATGTCAGAATTAGTATCAAAACAATAAAAAATCAAACAACTTGTTGCATTTGATTTGAATAAATAATTGAAAAACGCGATAACTGAATGAAAGGTCAACACTTCTTTTCAAAATCATGTACTATATATCTCTAAAGGATTATTTCGCTACAAAAACATATTAGGCCAAGAAAATAAAAAATTAAAATCATATGGTATCATAGCCCTACCTTGATATCATTGTACCATGAATTGATATACTTTCTCATAAATTTGACAAACAAATCCCTCCCGAACAACTTCGTTACGAATGAAGTCGTAAACTAGTCACATCAGACTTAAGAAATATTTATGCCAATATGACAATGACAACAATACCCTCAACCGTTATGAACTACAACCATCGATATGGCTAAAGCGGCGGAATATTTTTATCATGTATAGAATTTCATTAGCGAAAAGAAAGACTTTTTTCTATGATTTCCTATAGAGTTTCAAACGATGAAAATCATTTCGCATTGATGTCCGAAATTGGATCGGATCTCTTCAATTGGAAATGCCAAGCCCATTGATATCGATGATGAAGCTGGTTATAACTCCATATTGAATGTATGATATGTGCGTGTGTGTCAATAGCCCTCTAAGGTAGATTTTTTAATAATAAAGAAGAATTTGTAAAATATGCCAAAGAGAAAAGCGTATTATCCACACATACAAAAGAAACAATATAAAATTTGATCAAATAGTATTGAATGAATCCAATAAATGCCAAAATAAAATATCGCCGTTCTGCCTTTAAAATATTTGCACAAACCAAAAGACTCTGTTGTCACATCTATTAGCGTATTCTTCTGTCATCCGACGCTTATTAGAAATTCTTCCAGTTCGAAGTTAGTAAAAGTGTTAACGGAGAAGATAAAATATAAACACAAAAATAGAAATAAATCATCAAAGATAGCGCTCAAAGATCTTTGTTGTCTAAACAACAATGACAACAACGTCGTCGCAGCACAGCAAGCATGCCAGCTTTGACGGAGAAACCAATTAAACCGCAAAGATGTTGTTAACGAATGAGGGAATGTGCGAATGAATTAAATGAGTATCGGTGGAGAAGTCGTCAACAAACCTAAGTGAAGGCATTCATAAATGGTGAATGGCATGAAGCCAGTAATGATACATAGAGTTGCCATCAAAATTCAATTTTTGTAGTTTTTTCCTATTTTGGTGAATAGCAATGCAGAGGCCATTAAGGATTTTAAAAATTTAAATTTCCATCATTGTTTATTTTGGATAGATTAGGTGTACAATTTGTTAAAATATTCATAAACGGCCTGTATTTTATTGCATGGGTTTCAAAATAAGTTTTTAAGAACAGCGTCAGCCGATGAAAATGTGAAGGAGGAAAAAATGAATATTATGTTACCACTTTAAGGAAGTTACATTCATTCAGAAATTTGGGCTTCTGTGGAGGAGGTGCGAGAAACATTGACCCAATATTGTACATTTTTATAACCTCAGCAGTATGGCTAGAGAGGGCATATGCCATTTGATACGGCCAAAACGTGGCTTATCGAAATAACGGTTTTAGACCCCAGGTTTCTTTGGACCAAATCCGTTGGAGGATATTTGGAGTCGATCTAGCGATGTCCGTCCGTCTGTCTGCCTGGCTGCTGCGCGCGATAATTCTCGAAGGGAGTATCAGATTTTATCCAAATTTGGATAGCAATATAGGTCCACTCCTTCTGGTACCTCCCCCACAAAATATCAACATTTTCAAAGAAAATAATTTATTGCACAAAAAGAGAAAGAATAATCCTATTTTGCTCCATCTTTGCAAAACTTTATTTTTGCATCAGTGCTAAGTCACGTCCGAAAATGGACAATATCGGTCCACTCCATCAAATACCTCCCCCACAAAGAAAAAACATTTTGAATAATTAAAACTCTTATAAATTCTGATTTAAGTGTCTGATTGTCTTCAAATTACATACATCACAATATTTTTATTATTATGGTATGAAGATGGAATACATCAGTCCACTCCTTCTGGTAACTCCCCCACAAAGGGTCAAAATTGTGAATAATCATGAGGCTCATAAAACACGAAATTATCATTCGATTTCGTCATAAAGATGCTAGAGATCGGACCATTCCTTCTGGTAAATGAAGAAATATATCTTAAGCTGACTCCAAGATTTCATCCCAATACTTGAACCACGTTTATGTCAAGTGCGAACATGTATAAAGTCCATCCCCTTTTTCTCGTAACTCTCCCCAATAGAGTCAACATTTTGAATAATTTCTCTCAAAATTATATTTCAATTTCTTAGTGTATTAGAAATACCAATCTCCCCTTTATATCCATTCCACAACATGGCAACTCTATCATTACTAATCCTTTCTGAAGGAAACATGATAGAAATATATATATATTTTTTTCCAGGGAGTGTCCCACAATACCAGGCAGCGTTTGCTGGACACTGACAACAGCCGCACACACACATCACGTTACATATATCCATTTTTTAATATTTCAAATTTCCATTAATTTATTTCTCTTCCCCCGACTACTAATAAATAAGCTCGCTCATACCCTCGCATGCTTCGTAATCTATCAGAATGCATGGCGCGGGGCAAGCAGAGCCCCTACTAGCCCTAACAAGCTATTCCAAAAGCAGCAGTTGTGTGAGATACTCTTGTGAGTTGGCCGCTGTCGATGGTTGTGGTTAGAGAGACTGGTGTCAAGCGATGTGCTTTCCAACTTCAACGTCAGTCTTTAAAGAAACTTCTCACAAAACGGGTGCTGGTTTCGATTTTAGCGCTAACAGTCAGACTGAACTTGTAAATAATTCGCGTGTCGGTTAGCGTAAATTGACGCTGAAACACAACAAACAAAGAGCGAGCTTAAATACGTGCAAACATACATACGTTCATGAGTCAACAAGAAGGCGACAACAACCTACGTTCGTACATAACTATCGGTCAACAAAACAACGGTCAGCTGTTCCAACCAGTGGTATGTGTTGTCGGATAACGAGTGTTACAGAACTAACAGAACCAGACTGACACACTCACTCATTCACTCACTGTCTATCTTGTTATTCCAAGCGTTGTGCGACTAAACCAAAGCGGAGGCGGGTAAACGTGAGGATAAATAAAACATTTCCTGTCAGGATAGTGTCCATTACTTTTTTTCTTGAGGTAGGGGACGGTGTGGCCGTTGGTCTAATGTTCTATGACTTGTGTGGTCAAGTGAAATACAAGTAGAAGACCACGCCAGCAGCATAAGTCATTAAACTCGCAAGTGTCTGGTGTGTCGTGGTTGTTCTAGTTGTTGTTGTTGTTCTTGGTTTCATCATAAATTTCGGGCAAAATGAAAACATACCAGAGTACACACCCGCTTGGAAATTCCTCTACATTTAAAAGCATTCTTCTTACGTTTCATTTTGAATCAGTTAAAGGCACGGCTATAGGTCTCAGTTTGTATTGCCAGTGGCAAAAATAAAATAACAACAACAACAACTGAATGCGGAATGCTAAATAACACAGTTAACATTTTTTGTTTGCCCTGGCCATTCCAAGAAGTAACAAATAGAGTGTAAAGAAAAGTTCAAAGAAAAGTGCAACCCATTCCAGATGTTATCTTCAGAAATATGTTTTTTTTTTTTTTTAATTTGTATAAACCACATCGACCCAAAATAGGAGAAAACAAAAAAAAACTTTAGGAATGTTGTCGAAACACTCCGAAACCAGAATGACGAATGTGTAAAATATGTATCAGTTAGGGCCGAACAATGAAAAGGTTAAAGAATTGAAATTGGGAGAAAAAATGAAGTCGCCTGCACATTGGTCGATACTCTGAATGCTTTCTTCAGCTTTCTTTTCATAGAACTAATATAAACTACACTGAATAGGGCCCTAGGGCCCCACAGCCCCTACGAAAAAGCTTACATTTTTGGTTATAATTCATAAAAAAAATAATCTTGTTTCCAATAGGTCCCTTGAAATAGTTTCTCAATGTATTTCAGTGTACGTCCTCTGTTATTGGCATAGAACAAATACAGACTGGAGAGTAAATACAGACTGTCGTGAGTATTCGAAGAGCATGACTATGGGGATATATAAATCATAACATTTGGATAAGGAAATCAAAGTAATAGAAACACACCACTTATATGTGAACTAAGAATTACAAAGCCCCATCAAAGCAAGTCTTTAACCCAGTGAGTACCGATAGAAAAGATAAATGAATCAAAATTTTATGCTGATTTGTCACACAGGACAAATAATAGCCAATATTGCCTTTTTCCAAATGACGACACGATTTGCGACTGCTTCCTATACTTTATATAAAAAATGTATATACTTTATATGAAAAATGTATATTTCATATACTTTATATGAAATGTGTCCGAAGTAATCCATTTTCAGACTTCATCTAATACAGATAAAAATATTGGTATGGGGAAAATTTGAAGGAAGTCGCACATTTATATAAACTTTTATGCGAAATCATAAATTTCGATAAATTACATATTTATATCACATTTCTGGTTGAGAGAAATATTTAGATATAGCAAGTTGAAAAGAATCGCCGACTTGTTTCGGAAGTTATGACAGATAAAAAATATTGGAAATTGTGGCCCTTTGTGGTTAAGGTATCATCTTCACAATATATCTTTCGTTAGCAAAAATATTTTGATATGTGAAATTTGGAATTTATTTCGCTTTCATTGAGCGTTTTGCTTGAACCCTATGTGGGGGAGGTACCGGAATAAATGGTCCGATCCAAGTCTGAAGGAATCGGATGTTAATTTCGCGTTTTGAGTATTCATAAAGCTCAATATGTATACTCAAAATTTTGACCCTTTGTGGGGTAGGTACCAGAAGGTGTCGACCGATACATATATCCCACATTCAGATCTTGTGTTAGTAGAAATAATGAGATGTATGAAATATAAGAGAACCGGATGCTTCTTACGGATTTTATGATCGCTTTGTTTATTCAAAACTTTGTGGGAAAGGTACCAGAAAAAATGGTCCGATCTCTGCCATATTTATAACTGTTATTTTGTTGATGGAAGTATTGAGACGTGGCAAACCTGAATGGAATCGGGCGTAAATATCGTATTTTATGAGCTTCATGAATCTTCAAAAATGTTGACCCTTTGTAGGGGAGGTACCAGAAGGAGTGGAACAATATTTTCCATCTTCACAGCAGACCTTGGGTTAATAAGAAATATTGTGATGTGTGAAATTGTTGAAGACAATCGGACACTTACGTCACGTTTTATAAGAGTTATATTTATTCAAAATGTTGACCCTTTGTGGGGGACGTACTTGATGGGGTGGACAGATATTGTCCATTTTCACAAGTGACCTAGCACTGATGCAAATAATTGGATTTGCAAAGTTGGGGCAAAATCCGGCCCCTGTTTCGCTTTCTGTTGTTGAAAATGTGACATTTTTGAGGGGAAGTAACAGAAGGAGTGGACCGATGTTGTCCATCTCCGAACTCGATCTAAGTTTGACAATAATATTACAATGTACAAAGTATGGAACAAATCGGATACTAGAGAGTTACCGTGCACACCAGCCAGACAGACAGACGAATGGACTGACAACAACCCTAAATCGACCCCAAATGTCCTGAAACGAATTTGGTTCAAAGCCATTATTTGCTTGAGGTACGTTTTGGCGGTATCAAATTACATACTCCAACTGTAACCATATGACTGAGGGTATAGAAATATGTTGACAGCCATCAGAACATATAAAAAGAATACCAAAACTCAAACTGATACAATTCTCGTCGAACAAATCAAACAAAATACAGTCACCATATTTCTGAGCCCTATCTCAGACAGATGGGCGGAAACAAGTAAAAAAGCAGCTAAGTTCTGCCGGGTCGATCCTTTTATACCCTCCACCATTTGGAAGAAACTTGAAATTTTTCAAAAAAAAATTCCATCGAAAAATACCGCTCAAATGAAAACCGTTATATGTGGGCTATACGAAGACGTGGTTCTGCATAAGTAATTTGTGTCACGAAATTTGAAACAATTCCGGAAATCTGAAAATACCGAATATCTGGGGATACCGTTACGTGGGGGCCCATTTTCGAGCTTGACCTACCTGTGATGTCATTCGTTTTGATTGTACAGACGGTGATTACAACAGACGGGCGTCTTAAACGCCAAGAACATATATACTTTGTTCGGTTTAAAATTATTATTTCGAGGAGTTATAAACGAAATGATGAACTTTTTATGCCCTCCATATTATGTAGTGTGTCTTAAACCGAATTTGATGGGGTATTAAAACAGAATTTGGTTAAAAATAACAATGGAGGAGAAATCTGGTCTATATGTGGCTCGCTCAAATATGTCTTCTAATAGGCTCTTCCAAGTTCAATTTCTTTCAAAAACATTCTGCGTAGTTTCATAAATAAAATTAAGGATGCTACTTTCTGGGATTTGTGATCCTCTGCATTAATCTCCTGCCTATATCTTAATCATGACTTGCTTAATGACTTTCTAAAGGAATGAAGATAACTGAATCTTTGGACTTAACTAAATTTTTAACATAGCCCTGATTATTATGGATCAACTTAATAGCTTAAGTTAAAAACTGGGACGAAAAAATATTGGCAAATGTCCTTCCGCACCTACGCTTAGGTACCTTAAAACTGAAATTTATTCGAAAGCTAAAGGCTTGGAATGAAATTGACAATGGTTAAATTATTTTCAAAGAAAATGTTATACTTACATTCTCAAATGTCCAATTTTTATATATGGGATGCATTCCCGATTCCACTACACTTTTTACCACAAACGTTCAACTACATTCATTAGAAACAGCAAATACTTGTATACTTATGTATGGACATTTGGAACGCGTCCTATTTGTTTAGGCCTATTTACATATTTGGCAATTGTAATATATTAATTCTTTTATGCCAAAAAAATTTGATTTAGTACCTTTTCCCAATTTGTTTTTGTTATTTTTCTAAATGTCCAAAAAATATTCTCGTTTGACTTTCTCCCCAAATTCTTTTGCGACAGAAATAGAATTGACAACAAAAGAATTTTAAAATTTATTCGATTGTCAGTTAATTATTTTTGATTTTTTTCCATTGACAGTCAAAGTTATATTTTTATTACTTTTTTCCAAACATTTTTAATTTAAATAAACGACAACAACAACAAGCAAGAACCAAAAATTCGCTGTATTCTCCCCATTGTCAAACCAAAACCCCCCTCCAAAAAAGGTGTAAGTATGTACGGGTGCAACTTCTGCTGTTCGGTGTTAAATGTTTCCGACGTTCGTTCCCTTCATTGCGTTTGTGGCCCATCGACCGCTTGATTGAAATTGGACTTCAATTTCAAAACAATGATAGTATCTCTCAATTTAAAACCACAACAAAAGTTGTTATAGTTTCCATTTCACCATTTTTGGTCGAACCAATGCCGCTGATTTTTTTTCTTGTTTTTTGTTTTCTGTTGCCCCTTCTCTTCCGTCTTCCGTCTACTGCTGCCTGAAGGCTATTGGAATGGGAGGTTTGCGAATGCCAGTAAATGTCGATGGCATGTTGACGGCTGTTCGGTGTGTGGCTTCCCACACAGGAATTTCATTTGTATCAATTGTCGCGCAATTTCATATAAATTGGAGACTAATTAAGTTCATATTTTATGCTGAGTGGTGTGCGCTGAATGGGTGTTTGTGTGTGTGTGTCACTTATTTCTGGACGCCTCCACTGGCCGATTGAGAGCTGTGTGTAAGCTGTTTCAATTTTCACCTCCAAATGCACACACAAATATCACAGGATTTACGTAATGATCATTATAAAATCATTTATTTGGCGTTAAGCCTCGTAATCTTTTCCATTTTTGGGACGACTCTATAATTGGCAAGGCCATATTTATTGTTGAGATAATCGAGCCCGCTGGCTGTCGGTTTAAAGGGAAACAGAAACAGAAATTGTTTGCCAAAGGCAATTGTAGGTCAGTTGTTGTGGGAGTCATTGAGTCAAACATTTCAACAAAATCCTTAATTAATTTAGGCAACAATGTTACCGGAAAAGTGTTAGTGGGAAGTTGTTTGTTTGAAATATGTTTTCAGAGAGCCTTCAATGGTTAGGATGATGGCGTTGCATAAAAAGTCACAATATTGGGCAGAGCGTCACATTACATGGCGATGGGTATATTTGTGACTAGTTAGTCTTACAATACAGCTTTATTGGCGCCGCTTCGTATTTTAATTGCGATTACCGAACAATTAATTTTTCAAATTTTTAATAGAAATGAACACAATTCCACTTGTAATCTAAGTAATTGAAACATGTGACCTTGCATCAACTTTGTAATGTGATATTCCTGAAGGCTTAACTTATATTAGAATCTGTATCATTATTTTGTTATTAATTGTATTTTAGTTACTTGTCATCCCCGACTTGTTTCTTTGAAAGTTTTAGCGCAACGTCTTCTTTTAAGGAACAAAAGAATCCTTCATGAAATATACGTTAATAGACACAACAAAAAAGTAAAAACAACATTAAGTTCGGCCGAACCGAACTTTTAAAACTCTCCACCTTTGGGAAAGAAAACATTTTTATATAAAAGTATCTGAATACAAATGTGTTCCGCTTTAAACAACAAATACCAGTAAGTCCGTTTGCAGAATGCAGTTAAACTTATCAAAAAACCATAAAGTGATTAGGCCGCTATATGAGGGCCATATCAATACGGGAACCTCCATAAACAATTTTATACTTCAAGTGGGTAATTTGAATAGGATTATCAAAATACCGAGTTTTGATGGGAATCGTTATATGTGCGCTATAGGAAAACGTGTACCTAATTTTTTTTAATGTTCCGCCGACGGAGCTGGAACACGTACCAATTTTTAGAAAAATCCGTGGAAAAATGTGGCAAAAGTCATAATAATACTGAACATCCGGAGGTACCATTTTGTGGGGGCTAAACGAACACGTGGACATACTATGTTCCGTTACAGGATTACGAACTACAATTACCAATTTTTGGACAAATCCGTGAAAGAATGTGGCAAAAATCATTAAAATACCGAATATCGGGAGGTACAGTTATATGGGAGCTATACCAAAACATGGACCAATATATATTTTGTTTCGCCACCGGAGCTAGAACCCATTTCGATCTACAAATACTAATACATAAACAAATCCGTGGAAAAATATGCCAAAAATCATCAAAATACTGAATATTGGGAGGTGCCGTTATATGGCGGCTAATCCAAAACGTGGACCTATGAACACAATGTTTTGCCACCGGTGCTAGAATCCATTATAAACTACAAATACAAATTATTAGACAGAGCTGTGGAAAAAATATGGCAAAAATCATCAAAATACAATGTTCCGCCACCGGAGCTGGAACCCATTGCAAACTACAAATTCCAATTTTTAGACAAATCCGTGGAAAATGTGGCACAAATAATCAAAATATCGAATATCGAGAGGTATCGTTATATGGCGGTTATTCCAAAACGTGGACCGATATATCTCATTTCCACTACCAACCATCCTAGACACAATACAAATTGTTCTGATAAATTTTTAAGCTCTTTGTCAAATCGCGATTTGAACAGACAGACAGACGGACATCGTTAAATCGACTTAGAATTTTATGCTGATTATGAATATACTTTAAGGGGTCTACGACGAATATTTAGTGATATTACAAGGGGAAGGACAAAGTCAATATACCCTTTTTTCAAGGTGGAGAGTTTAATTAGTTCTTTTGCACTGTATTTTCTTAAATAGCCCATTATTTTCAACCTACTGGTAATACAGAAAGTAATATATTTACATTACTATGTAATGGGTTATTCGGCTCATACTAATGAAGCATGCAATTCACTAAAATTCCTATAACCACCACCACCACCGTCAATTAGCTCAAAATTGTTTATACCAACAATTATTTGTATAAACAAATGCGTGCATAATTTTAACATTTCACAAATATTTGAGATATATTTTTGGTTGTCTTTAATTTCATTATTCTTCCAATTATGCAAGTATTTGTTTGCTGCAAAAACCGGTCTTGACATAGACTTGTCTTTTTTAACGGTACAAAGCGTAAAAAACAAAGATTTGAAATGGGTAACGTCACTACGAAACCAAAATTACTCAATCTTTCCTTCATTTTCCCTGCTTCTTGAAACTGTAGTAATTTTAAATAAATTGAAAATTTCAACTATTAATAATTCCAACATTTTGTTCCTGGCCACTATGCAGCAACGCACTTTTCTCAAGTTCCGCCATCCTCAAACGCTTCACTATCATTTCATATAAATCATTTGGTTGTATTTCTCCCAATTGAAACCAATTAATATTTGTTATTCCCATAAATGCATGGAATTCTTTGATTTACCCCCCTCTTTCCTTGCCAATTTTCTCCATTTCAGATATTTCCAATTGAGTTTTTCCACTTGAAGACTAACTTCAATCAGCAGTGCCACAAAACCATAACGACAACAACGAAAACATTGTTCCTATCCCCATCCGAAGAAGAAGAAGGAGAACTAGATTGATTTGCCAGCGAAGTTGAGTGTAGGGGAACAACAGATTCTTATCGAGACAACCAGACCGACCGGACAAGCAAATAATGAACTGAAGTCTTTTTCTTATAAGCATCTTCTTCAAGAGCGGATAGTAAAACCACCATAAAGAGATACTCAAGTGGCCTATGGTCGACGGGCAAATGGATAATTGCCAGCAACTTGAAAAAAACAATATGCTATAAAACAAACTCAAGGAGAACGAACAGAAATAAATAACAAAAAGAGAAATAACAGCAACAATAGGAGTAGCGGAGAAAATAGCCAAAGATCTTCCAAAGCAGCGAATCGAGTGTTGCAGTAAAACACAGGCTCCACCATCATCATTAGTTGTATTCAAGAAGGAATGACTTGGCGTGATCAACAACGATCGAACAACGAAAACGGAAGATTGTGCGACAGACAACAAACCAAAGAAGTGTTGTCATCTTTTAAATTTGATCAATTTGAGGAACAAGCAACAACAATCCCACCAACACCACTCATCATAACAAGAGATCAGCTTGGCCAGCCAAGTGAGTCATAGATTGCCATCAAGTCATAAGCTGATTTGTACACCACCGCCAACAACAACGACAAACGTGAAACAAAGGCAAAAGCTCAAACTCAAAAGACAATAAATAAATATTGAATTTGGCTCGAATCGAAATCGTTTAGAAGTCGTAACCAGAGACGTTTCAATATATTCTAGTTCTATTCGAAGCGATCTTACTCACGTTCATTATTTAAAAATATAACGCCTATTTCTGGAGAGTACAACCCAAACCCCACGCAAAACAATAGACTACCTTGCCAGCTTGTTTCGGATTTTTCTTTTTTATTTTTTGCAAAACAAAGCTACCGCAACCTACGACGAACCAGCTAACAACAGTCGTGCCATTCACGCCGCCATAGATTACTCATTCATACTTCGCTTCGATCACGTCACGCTCCTACATAGAGCGTTTGACAATTGACTTGCTGCTGCCATCGCAGACGCTTGTGTCGTCTGAACTTCTTGCCGAGACAAGCTATCTGTGTCTCACAAAACGCCAATAGCCCGAGCTGTAATTTTTTTTCTTTGTCTCCGCTGTCATCATCGTCGTTAGCTGTGAACATATTTGGCGATGGCGTCACAAGGTGTCGCTGCCACCTCAAGGCTGGCTGAAATGCAGGTGAGTTTGCGCGATTAATGTGTGTTTAGCAAATAATAATAACAACAACAACAGCAAAACTGTTTATTGTACATATTTATGGTTATCGTTTTGTATAAAATTAGTTAAAATGTTATTCATTTATTTATTCTATTTAGTTTATGCTAATTTGTTTAAACAATTTCATTGATTAAACAAAACAATTTGTCTTTTGGAGTGTTATCGTTGGGCGCGTTCCAACCGGTTCTTGCCATTGTCCATTTGTACAGAGTGTAGGTAATGGTTTTTCGAAGCGGTATGGAAACTATATAAACACGAACAACGTTTCGGATAAGTTTTGAATGTGGGCTAGCTCATAGAGGTCTTTCTTCTACATTAACGCCATGCACCTATTTAGTTATAGAATTTAAAATTAACAAGTAAAAAATAAAAAATAAAAAGCAGCTAAGTTCGGCCGGACACTTTACCATTCGGAAGGAACTTGAAATTTTTAATTTTAAAATAAAAACCTTTATATAGAGGCTATATAAAGACGTGAACCTGTAACGATCCGATACTTTAAATACGAAATTTGAAATCGTTCTGCTGAATAATGTCGCTAATATCATCGAAATACCGAATGAAAGGAGGTACCATTGTATGGAGACTATAGAAAGAGGTTGACCTGCACAGACAATTGTCTGTCATAGGCTGTAGTATCCATTACAAACTTCAAATACCAAATTTGAAACAATTCCGGTGAATAATGTCGCTTAAATCACCAAAATATCGAAAACAGAGAGGTACAATTATATGGGGGCTATACCAAACGTGGACCTACATTGCTCATCTTGAAGACCAAAAGTCCTGCAGACATAATATACATTTGAGTAAAATGTTATCAACCTACTTCATTTTGTTCGGAAGCTATAGTGATTTCCACAGACGGACGGACATCGCTAAATCGACGTAGAATTTTATACTGATAAAGAATATATACCTTGTGCGGTCTAAAATGCATATTTTGTGGTATTACAAACGGAATGATAAACTTAATATACTCTCCATATATGGGTACTATACTAAAACATGGACCTATTTAGACAAATCTCTTCAGTTTGAAACTGTCACTAAAATACCCAAATAACTTTAAATCTGTCGGCACAGTTATATGGGGCCTATAAAGCCCATTTTCAATACCAAAAGGCTTGCAGACCTAAAACACAACTGGGTAAAATTTTATCAACCTACATAATTTTGTTTGGAAGCTCGACGGAAGTATATTGCTTAATCGACATAAAATTTTATTCTGATCAAGATATACACAATTTAATTAGGAGGTGTTACAAACAGAATAACAAACTTAACACACTCCATACTATGGTGGAGAGTATAAAAAAAGTGTACCGATTCAATTCAATTTCGAACTTAACATGCTGACAATTAAATAAACACCAATTATGAAGTGTAAACATCGCAGACTAAGAAACAGATGTGCTAGTTCTTGTGGATTTTTATGTTAATTCAGAATATAGATTGGTACATCTGTTAAAATATTCGCTCTTAATCTATCTTCCACCTTCCAACATTTTAAATTTTACATTTCAACACTCGACTTTCAGTAGATATCCATTTGAAAAAGAGGGATATTAGTTTCATTTAAGTTCATTTCCAAAAAGGAACTAGGAAAAATAGCCAACAAATGGCTAAGGGAATATATTTCAACACGGCACAATGTGCCCATGTGTGTCAGTAGGCAATTAATAAACATTGACATTCACAATGGAAAATATAAATGCATTACTTCTACAGCTATAATTGCTTGGATGAATCATGCAGTTGTGGTGTCATGCAACACGTTCATACATGTCGATAACGAGCCAGATACAGCTGAAAGCGAAATAGTGGCTATAGTAGGTGGCTTACACTAAATAATGCAGATTATTGCCGCCAATGAAAATTTTCTTGAGTGAATAAATACAAATGTTATAAAATGTCATGGAAATGCGTTAGGCCAACCAGGCGTTAAACGTTTCTAAGACAGGTATGAACGAAGGCTACAAATTAAGCGATATCGGCGAGTGATAAACGAATAGAAAATTAAGTCATATTAAATAGCATAGATATTTAACAACTAAAGAATTTAAAAGTTTTTATAAAAACTAAAGTTTAATTAAAACTTTGATCAGTTAAAAAAAAAACTAATTCGACGAACAATTTTTTAATTTTATTTTATTTAATAAGTTATTGTGTCTTTTTGATTGTTAATCATTGTTGCAAAAACTACTCAAGCATCTGACAATTTTTCCGAAATATTCAAGTTTCTGGAATATAAAAATACTCGTGAAGCCAATTATCCAGCCAATTATCCAGCCAATCTCCATATATCGCAAAACATTCAATTTGTAAATATTACTAATTTTAAATAACATAGTCCGCTTCATAATAAAGTTCTTTTAAGTTGACGTTTAACATTAATATATATTTTACATAAAACGTGAATAACATTCGCCCCTCAAAACGTTCAAGTTAATAATAAGTGCTAGTTTATTTTAAATGAATTTAAAGCAATTTCCAAAGATTTCAATAAAGTATTTGACCTAAGCAGCAACCGACAAAGTTTCCCTGAATATTTACTCAGTTCGACCTCAGTTTTTGGCGTCGTCATCGGTGTCGTCCTCTTCTGTTTGTTTTTCTTTCATTTTTTGGTATGTTATGTCTTTGCCCATGTGCCCCCAAAGCCGGCATGGTTTATTGTTTCAAACCACAACCATGACAACGACGACGATTTTCTACACAGCAATCCCAATGTGTTATTAAAGGATTGCAAAAAGCAATAATAAGCAGTCGGTTCGATACGATTCAATAAAAAACGTAGAAATGGTTGGTAAACAATACAAAAACAATAACAACAACCACCATTGTCAAGAAATACAAGAAAGGCATTTTGATTTTCTTCTTTCAAGTTTTTAATTCAACCTTTGACTTTCCTTGTGTTCGGTACATACTTTAAAGGTCGACTGATAATGCCAAAACCACAAAATTTTAAAATGTTTACCAAAGAAGAAAATTAATAAAATAATAATAATAATAATATTATATTCTCCGGCCTATTCGGAACTTCATTGAAAAATACATGAATAATTATAATTTCAAGAACAATAAAGAAATTCTTGAAATAACGTGAGTAAGTGAGTGAATGAACGTGAATGTCTGCAATGGGAGTCAACGTTATTAATTTTAAATGAAAGACGATACTTAATTGGAATAATAACTGCAATAAAAACTATAAAGAACAGAAGACCAACTGTCGCTGGCACGAAACTAAGTTTGCCGATTTTTAACTATCAGTTTTTAAAAGATTTCAACGAACAAACACCACTGTCTGCAGATGGGAATTAAATAGAACCTCAAATTCGATTTTATAAAGGACACACACACCCGCGAAGAGTTCAACGGAATACAATAAAGAATTTAATTTGTGTGTCCTTCTTCCTCGGCACGCTGCTGGCAATTTAATAGCAACAAAGTACACATGTACGGAAGACATGTAAGTCCTTACCGTCAGAGTATTGTGGGTGATTTCAATGGAAAATACCAAATCGTACAAATTAAATGATTAATGATTGAATAAATCTACTCAAGCCGCGATAAGAATCTAAATAATGTCATTAATTTAAGTCGAATATAGAGTTTGTGTTTCGAGGAAATCCTAATTATCTTTGAAGGGAAAATTGAAAAACATTTGTAATGTAAATGAAATCATCACATTTCTGTCCTACGCCGAAACATTGAGATCTAACTGGAATGAAAAAAATAGAAAATAAATTTTAGATTTCTCAAAAAACAAGTAAAATAGTATCAGTCGCTTTTGCCGACAGATGTATACCCTCAGCCTTGAGTTATGATTATTCAAACTGACGTGCCAGATTTGGACTATATCCACTACTTCCTATATGAGACACGTTCACATTTTTGGAAAATGTGGAAATATGCGCGAAGTATTCCATTTTCATTCTTCATCTAATACAGATATAAATATTGGTATGTGCAAAATTTGAAGGAAATCGAACATTTACATCCAATTTTATGCGAAATCATAAATTTCGATTACACACATATTCATATCAGATTTAGAGTTAATAGAATTATTTGTTACGCAAGTTATGACAGATATAAGTATTAGAAATTGTGAACCTTTGTGGCTGAGGTACCAGAAGGGGTTCGCAGAAATTTATCATCTTCACAACAAATCTTGTGTTAGCAAAAATGTCTGCATGTGTGCAATTTAAAGAGAGTTGGAAGCTTATTTCGCTTTCTTCGAGCGTTTTGTTTTTCCATATCTTGAACCCTATGTGGGGGTGGTACCAAAAGAAATAGTGCGATCTATACCATCTTTATAAAAGATCTTGTGTTGGTGGAAATATAGAGATGTATCAAGTCTGAATGGAAACGGGCGTTATTTTCGCGTTTCATTAGCTTCATAGATACTCAAAATGTTGACCCCTTTTGGGGGGGAGGTATTTGAAGTAGTGGACCGAAATATACCATCTTCTCACCAGACGTTGGGTTAATTAAAATATTGTAATGTGAGTAATTTGAAGAGAATCGGATACTTATTTCGGATTTTATGATCGATTTGGTTATTCAAAATTTTGACCCTTTGTTGGGGAGGTACCAGATGGAATGGTCCTATCTCTACCATCTTTATAACATATCTTGCGTTGATGGAAATATTGAGATGTGCCAAGTTTGAATGAAATCAGATGTTAATTTCGCGTGGGGGAAGTACCAGAAAGAGTGGACCGAGAGATTCCATTTTCACATCAGTCCTTGGGCTAATAAAAATATTATTATGTTTGTACTTTAACGACAGTCGGATACTTACATCACATTTTATAAGAGTTATAATTATTCAAAATTTTGACCCTTTGTAGGGGGGGGGGGGAGTTGTTGATGGAGTGGACCGATATTGTTCATTTTTGCAGCCGACCTAGCACTGATGAAAATATTAGGATCCGCAGCTTTGGAGCTAAATCGGATTTTCATTTCTCTTCCTATGCATTTAACTACTTTTATTGAAAATATTGACATTTTGTGTGGGAGGTACTAGAAGGAGTGGATTGATATTAGCCACATCCGAACTCGATCTAAGTTTGCCAATATTATTACGATGTACCAAGTTTGGCTCAAATCGGATACTCCCTTCGAAAGTTATCTTGCCACCAGCCAGACAGACAGACGGACGGATGTCGCTAGACCGACTTCAAATTTCCTAAAACGGATTTGGTGCAAAGAGATCTAGGGTCTAAAACCCTTATTCCGATGAGGCACATTTTAGCCATATCAAATGACATATACCCTTTCTACTGATAATGCTGAGGGTATAAAAATGTATATTGATCTCCAATTAAGCATGTGTTTGCTCCCACTTTGATTTTACTTAATGAATTAAACATTTAAAACGAATAAAGTTTTATGTATATATTACTGACACCTTTGAATGCAATTATGCACTAAGAACATTGTTCTGATTTAAATAATTTAATATTTTAAAATTGTTAAGTTTACTCCCAAAAGCATTGTTTGCACTCTCGTCGAATTTTTTAAACTTTTACTATACCCCAACTTTGTTATGAAGGGGGATTACATTTCGGAAACCACACACCATCTCGGCAACACCTTTTTTTGCAATTCCTGTAACCAATTACATTGAACTCGATGTTATACACATTAATGTGCACACCCACATACATATGCATATTAACTTACCATGAATTAATGTCATATTCACCTGCAAATATTTATTATATGATACAGTATTGTAATACTGTAATACATTTGTATTTGAATTCGACAACTGTTTATTAAAACTATTATCATTGCCATTATATTCGAACAATATTGACATTTACATGCAACAATTAGGCGCAGTTGTGTTGCCATTGAACTTGTTTCGTCAGATAATGTTAATATTGTCATATATTGAATTACGCAACCTATGAATAATTTATTCGTATTGAATGAAGGGCCACACGTAATAGCTAAATAATATTTAGCAAAAAAGTTAAACTAAATATGGCAATAAATACATATTCCATGAAACCATTCTGTAACTATACGAAAACTTGATTTTACGAAGAACATTAAAGGCCCCACTTGAGATCAAGTGATTTCTAATGATCATACTCTTTTCATTGTGTATTTGTTTGACAACTATTGCACAATTAAATTAATAGTAATGTCTGACATTTACTATATTGACAAGTCAAAACTCATGGTTAAAGCAAAAGAATAGATAAATAATGAGAAAACTATATGAAATTATGATTCATGAGCAGTTAGTTTCAATTTATCAAAGTATTAAAAGTAAGTGTATCAATTAGAGATATTTTTATGTGACAGCATAAAAGAAAAACATAAGTCAACATTAAAACTTTTCACGTAGCTCTTATAACTTGTTACAAAAATAGAGAAAATTTACTTATTTGAGCAATTCGTCAATTCATCAATCGTCCACTGGCCCCTCACAACATACCCACGTGTTCAAAAGGACATTTACCCACTCGCATGAGTAATCCTGATTTTGTATTAAAAAGCAACCATTGTAATAATGATTGAAGTGTTTTGCTTTGAGAGAAACAACGAACGTGTGGTTGTGTTTACTTAAAGGGTTGGGAGAGACAGCAACAGTCATAAAAATAATAACACCAACTTCGCGCGGGCGAATACAGAACGAGCAAGCCCGGCAAAATGAAAACTTTACAAAGGACTCGTGGACTGGTGAACTTTATTCAAGCATACCTACTACATACATATTATATGCATATGTACATGTGTATATGTATACGGCATGTTTGTTTTTTCTTGTTTATTTTAATGTGTACATGCATACAAATTCTTGTTCCGTAATTGTACATTAGGGTGGTAACAACTATGGTGGAGGGTATAAAAATAGGAAGGCACCGTTTTAGCGGCTGTATACAAAAACGTTGACCGATAAAGCCCATTAACGAACTACTGACAAAAGACAGATATGTTCAACATTTCAGTCTCCTCTCTTAATTCGAGTGAAAGATAGCGTGATTACGACATATAGACGGGAATCGTTGGGTCTAACGTGTGTATATCGAGGGGTTACTAATGAAATAACAAATGTAGTATGGTGGAGGATATAAAAATATACTTCACTTACGGTCAATACAGGCGATTTTTGCCCAGTCGGATGTAGGAAACTGAAATAGATGATATCTTCATTAATTAAACTGAAAATGAAATGAATATTTTGTTTATTTTACATCGATAATTCATCAGACCATATTTTCATTTAGATAAACCTACTCTTCCACAAAAAGTTTCCGTTGAATTCGTCAAAATATATTTTTTAAAAATTTAAATCAGTTTTCAGTGAAGGGTAAATGTCTCATATAAGTGGATGAATTTAGTAAATTACCTCTGAATATATTTTGTTTCTGGAATCTAAAGTCGTCAAATTAAGGGGGTCGGGGGTATTTTCGAACACGAATGAATTGTAAGTATCCTTTGGAAAATAAAGTAACAATTATCCAAATACCGAATATGGGTGCTATAAAAATTCGCTGACCTAAGTGCTATAAAAATTCGCTGACCTGGGTGCTATAAAAATTCACTGACCTATATAGACAACTTTCCTCCTAGGAGGTAGGTGTTCATAATGTACTTCAAATACCAAAATATGGAATATGTGACAACAATAAAAACAACATAAAAACAACAAATAGACTGATATACTCCATATTTTATTCCTTATAAATTTCAGAGTCGATCCCTTAAAAAGCTAAAGTAATTATCTTAAGCGGGTATGTTTAAATCGTCTTAGAATCGCCGATCAAGAAAATATATACTTTGTTGGGTCCTTAATGAGATTATCTCGATGAGATACAATGGTCAAATTTGTTGTACCTTAAGCTAAATGGCCATAAGAAACTCATTTAAATAGATAAAAATAATTAATAAATATGTACATCATTTATATAATTATATTATTGACTGTGAAACGTCTGAACGTCTGTCATGTTTCTCGATAATTTCTCCACCCTCATATACATCATCATACATGCATGCTAATACACACATTCAAACACACATTAACGATTAAAATTAGTAGAGTTCTAACGGTTATTAACATTTAAGTCTCTACAACCCCAACACATTGTTAATGCCTGTGTCTGTACTTGCTGTCCATGTCCTTCTAAAAAATACTATACTATCTATCTGTCCACCATTATCAGATTACATTTGGCCAGTAGCCGGGACAAGTGTAAGGTTACACACACACGCTTCATGATAACCGACAGTGTTGTTTGGTGTTTTTCATTACGAAGCGGTGACCAGTTTCACCCAAAACGTCACCAAGTCGATACGCTATAAAACGTTAAACTTCCGAAAAACAACGAAACTGATTAGTTATTTAAATTTGAAAGACTTCTCTACTCTAAGCGGTGTTGTCTTGCCATTTTTGTAAAGTATTATTAACAAATTAATAAACTGCAATACATTACCCCCCGCAAAGTGAACCATGTACGACGACTACCGAACCCGACCGCAACGGCTAAGTGAGGAATTCTATCGAGAAAATGTTGTGCCCGTAAAGCTAAACGAATCGTGGGCCGGTAGACGTCTGGTTGAGGCTCTGAGTCAGCTGCCGCCACAAAGTTTAAGTTCATCATGGGATGTGAGTTCAGTTGTTGGTTTTTGTTTTTGATTTTGCAAATTCATAACGGAAACCGATATTTAATTTTTCTAATTTTCTAACACACAGCAGCAAGTATGGCTCAACACAAGCGTTTGTTTCTATTTAACGAAGGTTCTACTATTTCTGGTATAGTTTTTCCTTTTTGCTCTTAATTGTCGTTCATTCGACAATCGCACAAAAATAGACATACATTTGGGCGTTTTGTGTAATAACAAGTCTAGATTTAACTCCGCGTTGGTGTATTTTATTTTAAAGATAAGAAATAAGCAAAACTAACAATTTTATTCAGCTTTTCAGTGAGGAGCAGTTAGTCGAACTTTGTGATTGGCACGGATAAGATTTAATTGAAAATTGTCTTCTCTTCGTTCTTTTTTGATTCCAGATGAGATTTCAAAGAAAACAGCTACTGGAACGGGAGCAGAAGAAACTGGCACTGACGGGAAGTGATAGTGGAATCGAGACAACAACAACGACCACCAGAAATGCCATTGGAAATGGAAAGGTAAATGTTATGACAAAAGGTGGATTAGTAGCTAAATTATCAGTGTGAAAAAAATTGTGATGTTAAATATATGTGTCTGTCCGTTCCATTAAAGTAACCCAAATTGTGAAACGCGGTCGAGCCGCATCGAAAGATTATGAAAATATGTCAAATATTGTGAAATTATTTTTGAATTAATCGTGAAAACCATTTGAAAATGTCTTAATGGACATGTTGGAACACCTTGCAAGCCTTCAAACTGAACGATGTTTTATATAGCTCCGGTTGTAACTTACATGGACATATAACAAACAATTCGACCAGAAAAATAAGATACCTCAGATTATGGTCATAATTGTAGCATAAAATCGCGCCTATACTTGAAATGAATCTTGTTTAATTCGAATATAACTATATAGATATATCGCATCACATTCTTATCTCTATAAAATAATTTTATTCTAAAGATTTCAAGTTGCTTGCAATAGGCAAAGTTGTAATCTCTTTGGACTTATTCAAAGATATTTCATTGATGAAACCCGTGTTTTTAAGATGTTCTGCAAGAAAAATTTTTATTAATGCACGTAGAGAAAATATCCTGATTGCGAAAACAACAAAAATCTTAAATTACCTTACCTACATGTTTTAAGTCTGTATGACAAAAGATTGTAAACAAAATCAAAAAATAATGTATTTATCATTGTCTCTCCGAATTCTAAAATTACTATCATTGAACTTAAACAAAATGTTGAATAATAATAAATTCTAGAAGTATCTATTAACTTAGGTATGGTATTAACAACGTGATAGAATTGAAGATTTTCACGTTTCATATCTAAAAATATTCGGGTCAAATTGTTGGTTTTTATATCTGTCAGTTATTGTTGACATTTTTTTTTGTATTGCATTTAATTTTATAAAAATTCACTTTTCGTTAAGGACAAAAATAATCTGTTTAAACCTGGCTATTTTGCAACAACGCAATAACTTCGGTATCTCAACAAATGAATGCCAACACTGTTCTATTCGCTAAAATATCTTAAAAATTATTCGTTCTAAAAAAAACTCCATACTTAGGTATATGTGTTAACCATAAAATACCAATTAACCTAATGCTTCCACTCGCCCAAGACTTGTATCAATAATCAAAATCGTCTATTTACATTTTTGTTGTTTTATTTATAAATAATATTTTGTTTGGCTCTTCTCCCCAAAGGTTCGTCAAATGTTCGAACAACGACGCGGTGTGGGCATTGACCGCAGTCACCCATTGAAACCAATAACAACAACAACGACTACCACCACAATAACAAAAACACAACAAAATCCTGCACGTCGTCTAACTGGTGGAGGCAATGCAACTACTACTGCCACCCGACGAACCGTAGTTACCACCACAAGGCAAAACACCACATCAACATTGAAAAGTTCCCACTCAAATTCCAGTCCATTCGCCTCGAATGGAAATCTATTCGGCGACGAATTAGATTCGATGGATAATTTGGATAGTGAAACCTTGCCTAAGGGGTTTTCTTCCTTAAGTCTGGACAACACAAGAGTTATGGGCCCACCCGTCAGTGATGGTAACAACAACAGCAGAAGTTCGAATGGGATTCGCAGAGACGTTATGGACACAACAGTTACCTTGGGCCGGAAGCCTACAACAACGAATGGCATCAAACTGAATCCAGTAATAACTAAAAAGTCACCGACTACGACAGCACCTCGCACAATGGCTGCTGCCCAATCAAGGACCCCGAGCAGCGCGAGTCGTACATCAACAGTGTCCCGAACGTCGGCGGCATCCAGTAATGGAACAGCAACGAAATCCCCAGAGAAAAAGACCCCCACATCCGTCACTTCAACAACAACCAAAACAGGAGCAAAGGTAAGAACCATTCACAAATTGAAGTAAGTCTATTTTCAAAATATTTTTGACCTGTACTACTGGGAAAGCACTTACCGATTTTCACAAACACTGTTTCACTTTTTGAAGAAGCTCCAATGAAAATTGGCTGATTGATAAACGATCAAACGAAACTCGAAGGAGTTCCTTAACTTCACACTTTGTAAAATGGGTCACTCGGCTTTAGAACTGTATTTATTGATCAATAAACAATTACAATTTCACTGAGACTCATAAAATGATGAAATGAACTATAATAATGATACATTTATTATATTCTTCACAAAAATTAAATTAAACCAAATAGCTTCAATCTGTTGACACAAAAGAAAAAGGCGCGACTGATTTGTTTACCAAACAACTTCTAAGCTTTAGCAAACTAACGGTCAGTTCCCCACTTATTGCTGACGTAACGTGACGTATACGCATCAGACGGTACAGGGCGGTACAATCAATTGCCAAAAGAATGCTACCATATCAGTCGCACACCAGCCAATTAGTATTTTTACTGCGTGCATTACGGTACGATGCTGTGACAGGCATACACAGTACAACTGCTCATGAGACAGTAAAAATTCTGATTGGAGGTGATGATGATGATGTTAAGCCACAAGATACTAAATCCAATCAGAATAGATATTTTTATATACAGTTTCTTTCCACAACTAGTAAGAGAGTAAGAAATATTCCAAACATATCACTAAAATAGAAAAGACTTTCTAGAACTCATAGAATTGACAATGGTTCGTTTTCGCCCACGGTGACACATAAATCTATCGTGATTTAAAGTATATATATTTAATATGTCAACTTTTGAAATTGATATGGGGAGACATTTCCCATTTAGAGTTCCTAGATATGATCTTTCACCCATGCAAAACACTCAAGCCCTTTTGGACATTTTCTTTACACATCTATGTAGTTTAAAAAGCAAAGACATCTTGAAAGCTTAGCATAAAATTAGAATGTCCTTTAGATATTTTGGAATGCTTTAATCATAGTATTATAGCGATGTTAGAAGAACTTATCTAAATATACCTATATCCAAGACATTCAGAATTTATTTATATTGTACCCACAAATAAGTCATAAGTAGATAAGTCATTGTTTTATAGCTACTAAATTATTTATTTTAATTCTTTTTCCAGACCACATCTAAAACTGGAAGTAAACCGGCCACATTTGTTATGGTAAGAACAATTGAGTCATTGATTAGATACCCAAAGTCTAAAATTATAAATAATTTATTTTCCCCAACAGGCTGTGAAACCGCCCCCTCGCATCACAACACCACCCCCCGGTATGGCCACTTGTCAGTATTGTAATCGCAATTTCAACGAAGATCGCCTATCCAAACACGAAGAGGTCTGTCGCAAAATGGTCACTACCAAACGCAAAATATTCGATGCTTCAAAACATCGTGTCAAGGGTACGGAAGCAGAAAAATATGTTGCCAAAAAGAAGGGTGTAACAGCAGCTCCTAAGGCTGCTGTGGCTAAGAGTACACCAGCTGATTCATCGAAGAAGGGTAATTGGCGCAAAAAGCATGAGGAATTCATAAATGCCATACGTGAAGCCAAAAAGGTACAAGCTTATTTGGCCAAAGGCGGGAAGTTGAGCGACTTGCCACCACCACCACCCTCTGAGAATCCCGATTACGTTCAATGTCCCCACTGTAGTCGACGTTTCAACGAAGCTGCAGCCGAACGCCACATACCGAAGTGTGCCAATATGCAGCACAATAAACCGAAACCGCCACAGAAGAAACGGTTTTAAATAATCTCGACTTCAGTGGATCACTGTATTTCTACATTTCCTGTCATCACTCATATTCGATGATAAATGGCATTATCGACATATTTTAATACAATTTACAATCTGCTATCCATAATGAAATATTATTTCTTACTAATTATCTACTAATCTTTTTTAAAAAGGAGAAAAACTGAAATGTAATGAGCGTTAGTTCTTATAATCCTGTACATGTTGTGATAAATTATTTGTGAACTCATTATTTTTTGTTTAGTTCTTATTAATCGAATATAATGAAAGAAAAAGAGTTGAATTTAAAAATAATAAACCAATAGACATTTGAAAAGTTTGTATTTTTGTTTTTATTCAGCGGTTTCCATTCTCTCCTCACTTTCAGTATCCTTTTGAGCGCTCTTTGCGGCCAAACGATCTATTAAAGCTTTGACCGCTTTGGCAGCAGTATTGATTTCTAAGCCCTCCATTGTATAGGCCAGATTGTCAAGACTGGCATCGTCATCATCGGCGAACCAGTTTACCAACATTGCTACACAGCCGCCATCACGATCGGCATTTTCTGTTTCAAAGTACAACAACTCATCTGCAGCATAGCCCAGCTTCTTGCCCAATTTCTTCCAGTCATCACCAATCAAAGGGGCCAACTCCTCAATTTGTTCTCGGGAAGCTGTCAGTGGTTTTGTGTGAGCATTATTATCCTCCTCACCCTTTTCCAAATCATTTGTTTCCTCTTCATCCTCAAGGACACCTTCGTCGTTGACTTCATGTTCGGCTTCCTGTTCTTGTAGATTTTCCTGGATTTCACCCGAAGATGTAGTGCTCTCTGCATTTGTGCCATTCGAATTTATTGCGGCTTGCTTTAATGCATCCAAACGGTCCTTAGCCAATCGTTTTCGTACGGCATCTAAGTAATCTGATATTTTATATGATGGTGAATTGATAAAAGTAAAGAAATGTGGCGATTGACGCGCCAGCAGACGCAAAGCACGCCATTCGAAAGACGTATCGCTTTTGTCGCGAAAACTTTCCAAATAAGTTTCGACCTGTGGTAGAAAGTTACGCTCTTCGCTTTTACAAGCCTGCAAATTATCCGGAGAATAGTTCCAGAGACGTGTAAGAACATCGCTAAAATTAAGAGGCATTTGAAATACGAGATGAATGGTGTTTTCGTCAATCTACATACTTGCCCAAGAAGAATTTTCCTTGTCTGTTGGCATCTTTAAGGCAATCACCCAATGTTTTACGTTCGCGCTTAGCCGGCGGGGGTTTATCATCTGAGATATTCTCCTCAGGCTTTTTAAACTCTTTGCATCCATCATTTTTCCAATTGTTCCACATTTCTTCACGTTGTAGCATGTGTTTTACTGTACGAGAGAAACGTTTGCCATTTGGGGGCGTTTCTTCCAGCAACTGATAGACTTTTGCTTCGGTTTCCTTAATAAAATCTGACTGAGCTGGGGTCAAGGTATTCGACTCACTAGTTTGGGATTAAATATAGTTTTCATTAGTGAACATGAAGCAATGAGTTCTATAGCCAAGCTTACGCTTTGAATTTGACAGTCAGTTGTAAATACTGGAAAAGTATAAGGAACTGCACCAAAACTGCTCTCCGAAAATTGGCATCGGATAGTTGTAAAGCCAGTAGTTTCGGATTTGTTAGGAATTTTGCAAAGAAATGGTCTACCTTTTGAACCGACTGATCTATTTCATTTTTGAAATCCATGGTAAAGCTAATATCCAAATCCATTTTATCGTTTAAGTCATCATTGTTATCCTCCAGTTGAGCAGATGCTGAACGCAAATCCTCCAATTTGAAGCTGGAAAATGACTCCAATACTGTGGTGGCATGCTAAAAAAAACAATTTGAAATTATTTCCGTTTATGTACTCTATTGTTACCATTTCCTTACAGTCTGAAACATTTTCCACGAGGCCTTACTATAACATTGATTTGGATTCCGGAAAAAGTCCTGCAGTGACCAAAATTTACAATATAAATTGTAATCTATTTTGATGGGTATATCTTCAATGTCCTCCAATGTATCATCCAGGTCCTTGCCATCGACTCCATAGTCGGTAACATTCTCCAAATTGAATTCCGACACTATGTTAAGTCCTGATCTCTCCGAAAAGGGAAAGAATTTGGAAAGGAATAGAAGAATGCGACCACAGAATACTGTGTTCTGGGCCCGACTAAGACGCCGCAACAAGTCATTACACATTCGTAATATGTTATTTTTACAGGAAGAGAAGAAAATCTCTTCCTTCCAAACCTCAACCATATCCTCGACATAATTGAAAATCTTTTCACATTTGTCCAATGTTTCAGTCTCAAAGATATCGCCCAACAGCACTACCGGTATAGTGACTGACACGATTTCCGCTCTCACCGCCTGCACCGACAACTTCACTAACTTGCCTATGGAATCCACATTATCGCTGAGATTAAACATCAATATCTCTCGAAAAGCCTGGTCCATTGGTGATTTTTTGTCATGATCCGAGTTGTTTGCATAGCTGTCGTAAGCTTTTCTTAATACCTGGACATCGTTTTTCTCGAAGGCTTCCGTCAAAGATTTCTGCAAGACCCCATTCAATTCAAGATGATTAGTGTAATATAAATGTGTGTAGCACCCAATACTTACGGAAAATGCTGCATGCAAACCTGTAAAGTCTGTGGATCTTTCGACTGTTTTTGTCATAATAAAAAAGATTCTTTAAAAGTAACAAAAATATCCCCAGCGATTCTATTGAACAGACACACAATTGCTTCCAACCGCTGCCGAAAGTAAAAGCGTTCCACCAAGTCAACAAAAAAAGACAAAACATAATTCTCGTTAAAAAATAACCAGAAAACGAAATGAGCAATAGACTATGTTGTTTACGAATGAGAACAAATGCATAAGGCCGATTACAAATAAAAAACAAAACAAATACTTCTTCTTATTATTGTACAATGTGAACTGATAACACAAGCCAAATTAATTCATGCATATTTCGATTGTTTTAAGAAAAATGACAATCAAATGTTAACAATAATGACAACAAGAATGCTTTAAAAGGTACGCGTTCTTGCTTGCACTCCGTACTGTGAATTTCTCGCAGAAGGTCTAGAAAAAATGCGGCAGCCCTGCTTATAGTTTGCTATTATTTTATAGTGAATTTTTCAAAGAAGAAGAGAGGTGTCGTTGGATTAATACTTAGCCCTCAACTTGTCTACTGGTTGGAGTAGTTATTCCTAAGTTTTCTGTTTGTATAAACTCGAATACAAAGACCGTGAAACATGAGTCAGTCAGACGTGAAACATTCCCTGCGGAAACTCGAATTTCCTGCATGTGTTAAGGAGGCGCTTCCACGCATAGGTAATACAACATTCAACAAATTTGAAATTTTCTCACAATCTCTTGTTTACAGAAAGCATGATCATTGGACGTGGAAAACAGAATTTTATAATGCAATTAATATCGGAGTTTATATTCTTGGAGCGCAATAAGGACATGGATGTCCGCAGGGGACAGTCGCCGCAAGCCTATTCCACAATGCAAATGAATAAAATTCAAGAATTTCAGTTGATTCTGGTTTTGATAGAGTATTTTTCACAGCCCGGTCCAGACTCTACAAGGAATGCCGTATTTCTCTCTCTTTTCACAAATTTGACACCGCAACGATCTAAAATCTTGTGCAAACTGATTAGTACATCGGTATCAGGATCTGTGGCTCCATTACTATCGGCCGCTGGCACATGGATGCAACAAGTAGGTTGTACAACGCCTCCTAGTTTAGAAGTGGCACAAAGTCTAGTAAGTGATTTCATAATATTTTCAAGGAAGACCTCGGAGCAGTTAAAGCAACTGCCACTTGTTGCTCCACATTTCGCTGCTAATCTTATGACAGCGGTAGCTGATTTGTATCTGAATGATCAGAGAGGTACGTTAATTCCCCCGCCCGATGCACTGTTAGATGTCTTTTGTGAGTGGGTTTCTGAAAATCCCTCCCTTTGTCTGGCATCTCAACAACCTTTGGCATTGCCTACCGGTGCTATAGCTATGCCGGTGGTTACTCCGCTAGCGGGCCTCATCAGATGGTCTGTTTTGTCACCAGTTGTGTCGAACAAAATTGCATATAGTAACCTGCACTTGGCATTACTTCAGACTCTCCTCGAAATTGTCAATAATGGTCCCCCTACAGCCTTGAATGCTCAGCATTTAATGTTAATAGCAACATCGTTGAAGAATCATGCAGCTCGCTTGGTTGGTGACAAAATTGATCCATTGCAAGACACAGATTTCCAAAAGTGCTTGGAACGTTTGGCACAAGCGGTTCAAATTGGCCTGACGTCTAAATGTATTTACGGTAATATTCCCCAATTGTTGTGCACACTGGAAAGCCTACCGCCACATCAGCTAATGAAAATTGTTATAGCGGCAAATAAAAGTCTCTAATTTAAGAAGAAAATATTTGTTTTTATTTATATTTAGTAAAATAATAATTTTCCCAATGCGATATACTATATATAAGTTTATGCACTTCGACCAAGATTATTTAGGACGATTTTGCTATCTTCCAGAATTTGCGAGAATGTACAAATTTTGCAATTTTTCATAAACGGGAAAATCGGTTATCGTAGTAAACACATCTTGCATTTCTGGAACGGTCCAATGTTTGACAATTTGATAAAATGGTGTGTATGTTAATATCTACCTCTTGTTCCAGAACTGCAAAGAATGTTAAAGTTTTTACTACGATGACCGATTTTCCCTTTGTGATAACGAAAGAAGGTTCAAAACTAGTAGATTCTGAAACAGAGCATTTGTTTGTATAGATATATTGAATTTTGAATCTATATTTTACGGGGTTTCCACGAAATGAATCAAAACAATTAGACAGTTTAATTTTAGGAATATATATACCGTTATTGAATTTATAAAGGCCGACAAACCGTTCTGTTCGATTTAAAGTTTATTAACAGAACGAAATATGAAAAACAGAAATACAATTTTCATTACATTAAACAAAATTCAAAACCTACTAAGGATGAAATTTAACAAGTGAATGTATTCAAAGTATAATCCAATACTCCTCCTCATTCACTTTAAATTGCATTTCTCGCGTAAAGTTACATGTTTAGGTGCTGTTAGTGGTTTCGTTAATATATCGGCAATCATCTCCTCCGTTGGACAATATGTGCATCTAATTATTCCTTTCTTGACTAGGTCTTTTGTTAATTTATATTTTGTATCGATGTGTTTAGTTCGAAAAGAAAATTTGTCATCATTTACTAGACGCAAACAGCTTTGGTTGTCATTATAAATAAGAGTTGGTTCATTAATAGGATAATGAATTTCTTCTAATAGTTGCCTTAACCACTTTGCGTCTTTAGAAGCTTCAGATAATGAAATAAATTCAGCCTCGCATGTCGATGTTGCCACAATTGATTGTTTCTGGCAAGACCATCCTATCGTACCTCCATTATAAAAATAAATTCTACCACTATTAGATTTCCTTTCGGTTCTTTCTTCTGCCCAATTTGCATCAGCATATCCAACAAGACTTTGTTCATTTTCATCATTGCTCAAATTAAGTTTTAACTGTGAAGTAGACTTAAGATATTTCAGAACCCTTTTACATTGAGACCAATCCTCCATTGTAGGGTTGGCAACCTTCTGAGCCAATATATTTACTGCAGCTGAAATGTCTGGTCGAGAATTGACAGAAATATATAAAAGTTGTCCAATTAATTTTCTATACTTCATATTTGTTTCAAGAAGTGTTGAATCTTCTGATTTTCCGTAACTAACATCCATTGGTGTTTTTACATTTTTAGAGTCCTGCATACCATATTCGTTTACAACTTTTCCAATATACGAAGATTGAAAGAGTTGAAAATTTCCTTTGTAATCTTGTGTTATTTCGATTCCCAGATAATGTTTAATTTTTCCTAAATTAACTATAGTGAAATTCTTTGACAAAGTATTACCAATATAATTCATCTGCGTCGATGTATTGCATGCTACAATTATGTCATCAACATAAACAAGAATGTAGCTCAATTTCCCAGAAATATTACCATAGTAGAAACATAAATCATTTATACACTGTTTGAAACCCATTTTTTCAAGCGCTTCGTGTAAAACCATATTCCATGATCTAGCAGCCTGCTTGAGGCCATATATACTTTTCTTCAATAGACAAACCTGCTCATTGTTATCTTGAAATCCTGGAGGTTGTTGCATAAAAATGGTTTCAGACAGCTTACCATTTAAAAATGCAGTCTTTACATCAAAATGATTAACCATCATTTTTTCTTTTCCAGCAATTGACAGCAGAATTCGAAACGAGGTATGTGTTGCAACAGGTGCAAAAACTTCATCGTAATCTACGCCGAATTTTTGAGAAAATCCTTGAGCAACGAGTCGGGCTTTAAATCTATTTACTTGTCCATCAACATCACGTTTCACTTTATATACCCATTTACTTCCGATTGCTGTTCTACCTTCGGGTAAACTGACAAGTTCCCATGTTTGATTTGCCTGTAGAGATTCTAGTTCATCTTGCATAGCTTCCAACCACTGCGCACGCTCGGTACTGTTAATTGCATCGTGGTATGATTTCGGTTCTCTAATTTCATTCGCTGACCATATTTCTTCAATTAGTCTTTTCGGTGCAGAACCTTTGTTGCATCTTTTGGATGTTCTAATATGTTGCTCACAAATATTGCTGTCTTGTGTTGAGTTAGTGCTTTCTTCATTTGGAATATTTATTGAATTTTCCTCTATATTATTTTCATCCGGTAAATTATTTCGGCCCTCAATTGGAATATTGATTGTATTTTCTTTTACTGAATTATTTTCGGGTATCTCCTCCTCAATCAATAATTCCTTAATCCTTGGATTTAAAGAAATGGAAACATTTTCAGCATCTATCTTGATAAAATCTGTGAATATCACATCGCGACTAATAACAACCTTCTTAGCATATTGATCATAACAACGAAAAGCCTTTGACTTCTCATCATAACCAAGGAAAATCATTTCGGTTGCTTTGCTGTCAAGTTTACGCCTTTTTTCAGTCGGAATATGTACAAAACATTTAGATCCAAAAACGTGAAACTTATCTACACTTGGTTTTATTCCGTACCATAGTTCATATGGAGTAGCATTGGTTGTTCTGGTTAAAACTCTGTTTTGTATAAAATTTGCTGTTGCAACTGCTTCTCCCCAAAATGTGTATGGTAAATCTGCCTCTGATAACATACACCTTGCCATTTCTATTAAAGTCCTATTCTTTCGTTCCGCCTTTCCATTCTGTTGTGGGGAATAGGGAGCAGTGAGTTGGTTTTCAATACCCTCACACTTGAGATAATCTTCGAATGCTTTTCCTGTGTATTCTCCACCTCTATCAGATCGAATTTTCTTAGGAATCTTACCGAATTTAGTACGACACAACATTACAAAATCTTTGAATGTCTGCAAAACTTCCGACTTTTGTGATATTAATCTTATTACAGTGAACCTAGAGAAATCATCTATAAATGTCACTATGAACCTTTTTCCAGATGGTGTAGTGGTTTGCATTGGACCGCATACGTCACTATGGATTAATTCCAAGGGAGCTGTAGATTTCGTCATTGATTGCCTTGGAAATGACAAGCGAGTCATTTTGCCTTTAACACAACTTTCGCAAATTTCCTTTATACCACAACCCACAATGTTTAAACCTTCAACCAATTTCTCATTACACATTTTTCTAATTGCTTCTGGATCACGGTGTCCAAGCCTCCGATGCCATTGATGTATGCAATTCTCGTTGTGCTGCAATACTGCATGAACAAAATCTGGTTGTCGCAAAATATACATTTCACCGTCAATATCCGCAATTCCGATATTATTATTTCCAGAATTTATGCAGCAATTATTATCTTTAAATGCAACGTTGTAGCCAGATTTCGTTAGTTGCCTTACCGAGAGAATGTTACCAACTAAACAAGGAGCATATAGTACCTCTCTTAACGTTATTTTATGTTGGTTACCAAATTCATCATTCGTAATAATCTCACCCTCACCAATACCTTCAATAGCAATGGTTTGACCATTTGCTAATTCGATCGAACTCTTGTAATTGTGATTGAGATTCTTGAAAAACTTTCTTTCATTTACTGTATGTCGTGTTGCTCCAGAATCCACAAGCCAACAAAACTTCTTAGTATTGCCAATCTTGAATAAAAAATCTTCACTTTTGTTTTCTTCATTTACCTTTTCTTCGATTGAATTGATTTTATTGGGATTCTTTCCAGAATTTTGCTTTGTTTTCCAATATTTGTACTTGGTGCAATTCTTCTTTTGATGTCCGGACTTTTTACAAAAATAACATACACCATTTGTCCCAGCCACCACTTTTAAAATTGAGTCGTTTCCCTCATTGACTGAGTGTTGTTTCCTTTCAAATTCTGCAATTACACGTTGCTGCACTAATGCGAAGGTAATCTCTTCTTCCTTGCGAGATTCAAGCGATGTAATTAAGGCATCATATCCTTCCGGAAGACTGCTTAAGAGCATGGCAGCACTCCATTTATCTGACAAACCTTCTTCGCCGACATCCCGTAGTTTAGTAAATAAATCGTTCATTGCATTTATGTGACTAATTGCGTTACCTCCTTCTTGAAGTTTTAGACTACATATTGACCTCATCAAATATACCTTATTGGTGAGTGTGTTCTTTTCATGGTAGTCTTTAAGAGCGCTCCAGGTAGCTTTAGCCGTTTTCGCACTTCGGATGTGCCCAAGCTGGTCATCCATAACGAGCAATCCAATTGTTCCCCGTGCCTCGTCATCTTTCATATCCCATGCGTCAAGTTCTGATTGATTCACAACTTCATTACCTTGGTTTCTTTTGGGTTCGGGACGAGATCCTTCTATTACCTGCTTCCATAAATTATTCTTTCGCAACAACAATTCCATCTTGAATTTCCAGTTTGCATAGTTTTCGTTATTGAGTATTGCGAAATTTGGTTTTGAATCCGACATCGTATCCTTTTAGTTATCCGTTTTAAATCTTCCTGAAATCCGTGCAAATATTTCCTGATTTCTTTAAATTCAACTTGAAATCCTTTGATTATCCTTTAGATTTATTGAAATTATCCTTTATGTCCTTGATCCTTTATCCTTTACACAAAAAGAAGGCCCATAACCTATTGAATTTATAAAGGCCGACAAACCGTTCTGTTCGATTTAAAGTTTATTAACAGAACGAAATATGAAAAACAGAAATACAATTTTCATTACATTAAACAAAATTCAAAACCTACTAAGGATGAAATTTAACAAGTGAATGTATTCAAAGTATAATCCAATAACCGTGTTCTGGGAAAACTGGTTATTCTTAAAACAATAATTATATATGATATATCGACCATTCAGTTTCATGTGTAATAAAGATACACTTATTTTTCTTCCAAACTCAACAAAATACTTGAGTGTAACAGAAATACACAAGTGCAATAAAACAAAAGTAAATAATTTTCGATGTACTCTTATTAAAATCATACTCGCATAACATTTGCCTACTACGTTCTACAACTATGTTAACTTCTAAAACGGTCTAAATCTTCTAGTCTGTTTCAGTGCTTCGATTTTCTTCTTATCCTCTTCGAATTTCTTCCGTAGCTCGACAATATTTTTCATTTTTGATTCTCGTATTTGGAAGGTGTAAAAGTTTGTCAGCTCCTTCCTTTTCTTGCTCTTTTCCATCTTCTCTTCCAGTTTACCAATGTTTCCTTCGGTTTGTTCAAAACCAGCATTGTTTCCTCTCTTTCCAACGGTTACCCAACCATCTGCATCGGCTTCTGATGTCTTTGCAGCTTCAGCAGCAGCCCTCTCTCGTTCATCGTAAGCTGTCATGTATTCGTCAATGTAGGCTTGGGTCTTGTCCACATCTAAAATACGATCATTGTATTGTGTGTGCCACAACTGCATACCCGTGACAATGTATGACTCTTTGCTTGTAGGACTAAATAAATCAATGCTTTTCAGTTCGAGAGCTCGGCTAACACTGTTGGTGTTTTTAAACACCACATAGGCAACTTTAAATGTGAATGGAGCCTCGCTGTTACTGAATTCAGTAACTTTCTGCATCCACTTTTGATCTTCGTCTCGTCCTGCCTTTTGGGCAAATAAAACGGAAACTACGGGACCAACTTGCTCGAAAAATGTTTGTAGGCTTTTTTCCGTAACATAGGGGGGTACGTTCAACAAGAAAAGTGTTCTACCCTTGGGTTTGTTGGGATCCATTAGGCGTATGAAATGTTCCTTCATATAAATACTGTGACAATGTTCGGCATCGGGCGTGACTCTCAGGGGCACAACTAAAATAGAGAGCATTTATAGTTGGTTTGACATTATTATGTTTCCACATTATATTTACCTTTGTAACCTTCTATTTCGGGCATTTCAAATATTTTAATTATACTTTTATGTTAAAAAATCAAAAGCAGCGTTTGTTTACAGCAGCACGTGTAGGTCGAGGCAGCAGATTTAATTTTGACATGTTTACAAATGGAAAGAGAACAATATGGCAACGTATGTTTGAATGTTTTGTGGGAATGTGTGTGTGTGTGTGTTGTTTAGAATGCTGAAACAAAACAAACTAAATGGTTACAAATAAGGGATCTATTGTTATTACGACAATTTTAATCAACCACTCTTAGGATATCAACTCATTTTGAATGACACTTCATAACTGTAGGGCATCGAGGGATAGTTTTGCTAATAATCGAGGGATGTATTGCTAATAATTGCTCGATTTAGTAAATGCAATGGATTTATATTGTCATTTCCATTGTATATAGGTCAAATAAAACTCTTTAAAGGAAGTTAACTCTATGATACAAGGTATGCCACTTTTATGACAATCCAAATTATTTGGAGCTTGAAACTCATGCTATTGGAGCTAGAAACTCATGCTACTACTTCATATAATTCTAAATTTCGCGTTATGTATTTTTAATTTTCAGCAAGATTTACTTATAAAGCTTTTTTTGGAGAGAAAGGAATTTACAAGATTCTCAATAATTATTTACAAGTGTTTGTGTAATAGTCGGGACAATGTTATTGATAGGAAGAAATTCTTAAAATGATAAATTTTTATGATGTTCACTGAATGATAACATTTTATTTCATAAAAATATGTCTAGGTTACTTGTGTATGCATTTCATTGCCTACTTTTAGGATGTTAATATTATTTTATGTTTTGTTTCATAGCAGAAAGTTCGAAATAATCAGGCGGTTTGAAGTTAGATTACGAATGATGTTAGAGTCATAAGTAAAGTCTCTTTTTCCACAATTATCTGTGGCATTTTAAAGCATTTTAAAGATGCTACTCAGAATTGTTATACCCTAGGTCATATGGTTAGAGAGGGTATATATGTAATTTGATACGGCCTAAACGTGCATCTAGCAATATTTTAAGACTTCCCTAGGTCTCTTTGGACCAAATCCGTTTCAGGACATTTGGAGTCGATCTTGCGATGTCCGTCTGTCTGTCTGTCCGGCTTGTTCGTGCGCACGATACTCTCGAAGGGAGTATCCGATTTGATCCAAACTTGGTACGTCGTAATATTATTGTCAAACTTAGATCGAGTTCGGAGATGGACAATATCGATCCACACCTTCTGGTACTTCCCACACAAAATGTCAATATTTTCAAAGAAAATAATTTACTGCAAATAAACCTTTCGAATCCCAATATTATCATCAGTGCTAGGTAGGGTGCGAAAGTGGACAATATGTAGCATATAACCAATAATAGGATTTCTTTGACAGTATTAAGAAGCTAGTGCACGTATCTAAGACCGGTCTACTAGCTCGTCGGGGGGTAGGTTCGGTGCTTCTCTAGCTCTATATATGGCTACATTAAATTACTTTAGTTTATACGTGCAAAAAGAGATGTTAGAACAAAGGAAAGTAACTATATGGTTCATTGGTACAATATCACTGTATAGACGTGTCGGTCTCATTCCGTCTTTGCTGCCCTCCCAACCTAGCCATATAGAGATGAACCAGAATCAACTTTGTTCATATGACCCAAGATAGAACGAATCAGTGGCCCACCTACTTAACCATCAGGCAATCAAACAGGAATACTGAAGTATTATGCCATATCCATTATAAATTTATTGTCTAAATATTAAAGGCTACTTTATAACTAGGTTCAATAACTAACATGATTATTTCAATGAATCTGTGTAATTAATTTAAATTTAAGAACTTAAAATTTGTTAAAAATACAAATTTTAAAGAGAAACACTAAAATAATAAATCGATATCTCTGCATAATTCTAATTCCGGGGTATTTACCCACTCTATTGTATTTACACGCTTTACACAAAAAATATCACCCAAAGCAGAATGTAATATTATGGATACAAAGAGAAACAAATAATACTCACGATTTACATACCATCCACAATAATGCTCCAACGTTGAAAGGCCTTTCTACGATTGCTTGCAGTGGTTGCTGTAATTTCTAACAGGATAGCAATAATTTATGTTAACAGAGTTATGTGCTTCTCTTTTGCTCTGCTGTAGAAAATGATGATATTAAATATGCAAGGCAATGATCATCATTATTGACTGCAGAGAGATCGATGTTAAATTGTTGCAAGCAAAATAAGGTAACCACACAACTGCTAGCATGAGATGCTCAATGCAGAGCCACGATATGTATGTTTGTCACCCGAATTTATGTTGTGTTGTGTGTTTATCGAGCTTTGCTTGAATATGTGAAACGCGTTTGCAATCACTGATGATAGTACACCAGTGGTTATAATTGAAGTTTTAGAAACAAAATAGAAACGTTAATTAAGAATTAATTGAATGAAATAATTAAAAGATAGCTTTTCTAGTATACTTCGGACTGCGCCTTTGTTGTTAGGTCCTGGGTTTCTTAGATTTTCCGGATTTAACACACAATTCGGTATCTTGTTGGATACTGCAAGAGTAGTTTATTCTCTAGTTTCAACCAAACAATCCAAAGGCAATAATGATGGTTTTGAATCACTATTTGTCACTATTTGTGATACTGCACCGGGTTTGGTTGGTTAAATTATGATGTAATTATGCCTTGCTTCCACTTGTTGCCGACCAACGTAACTGACTAGATCAACGTGTTCACTGACAGAGTTTCGGCTCTACACTCTGCTCTTAGATTGTGAGCAAAGAACAGACGTTACTTGTTGGTTTTGTTGGATTACTTATTCCTCGTTCAACAATTACAATGAAGGTTTGGTACTCAGTGCCAATCTTGATAGTAGTAAAAAAAAAGAGAAGGGCAAAAATAAAATTTTGTGTTCTCCTTTTTCTACAAGTTTTAAGATTTTAAACTCACCGCATATGCGAAATGGCACTCAGTTTAATGGGTAATTATCATTAAACGCAAGTCAAGATAATGATGATTTGGATTTTAAAATGAATTTAAACCATTTAACTATTTAAATTAGCAATGGATAACTTGCCAAGAGTATATTAAATTTGGCTGTGATATATTACCAACAGACTTATATTAATCGTTTGATATCTGATAAAATCAACTGTCTTGGGCGAACTTATCAACGGTACGTGGAACAGCAAAATGGCCGAGTAAAGCACCTCTCAAGATAAAGAAAATTCTGCTTTAGCTAGAGCAGACAGCTATTCCAGTCTACTAGCAATAAGCGGCGAGTTAGCAGGGATATTCTAATCGATTTACGTAGAAACACTTCAACAATAGATGTCGCTGTCAGTTAATTATCTCTAAATTGGTATAATTTTATGAAACCCTAGTTATCATGAATTAAGTTCAAGGTACCCCTTACAATCCCCCCCGTCAAGATCAGACTTCGGGGATGCCAGCATACCGGAGGATGATAACACATGTCCAAGGAAAATTAAAACTATTGACGGATATCTTTTGCATGATAAGTTCCTACCGAATTTCCATTGAGATCCTCCAATTCGTAATAGGAGTTGCCCAACTTGTTCCTAACCCGCGCTTTAATGAAGGTAGGTGCAAGCTTTGCATTGTAACTTTGCTCGAAATTACTCTGCTTAAAGTTGCGGCGGTACACCTCCTGGCCTACTTTATATGAAATTTCTCTAGAACGGGTGTTGTAGGACCTTTCATTCCTCAAAAATTGTTTATGTACCATTTCAGCTGCTCTTTTCGCCATTATGTCCCTCGAATCGTTGCGACTAAACTGAACTGACCGATCTTCCAACATTTCAAGCTGACGGAGAAGTGGGTATATAGCACCATTGGTGACCATATTCTGGCCAAAGGCCAAATAATAAGGAGAGGTGCCAATAGCGGAATGTTTTGAAGAACGTAGTGAACAGCAAATGCTACTAAGTAGTTCGTCCCAATTTTTTTGGTTGGGCTTAATGTATGACTTAATGGCTGCTAGCACTGATCGATTCACCCTCTCCGAAGCATTAGCTTGCGGAGAATATATGGCCGTGTAAATATGACTTACACCATATCTTTGTAACAGCTGGTTAAATATAACTGATTTGAATTGGGATCCATTATCAGATACAATTGATTCTGGAACACCAAATGTGTGAAAAAGTTCCCCCTCCAGGTAGTTCACCACTACATCTGCTGTAAATTTCTTAATGGGCTTTAAAAATGGAAATTTAGAAAAATTATCTAGAGCAACAAAAATACCTATATGGCCGGATTTTGACCGTGGATAGGGACCTAAGAAATCCACGTACAGTTTTTGGAAAAATCGGCAAGATTCCGTTGTTTTGCCCATTGGAGGACGTAAAACTGTATTTGGGTGCTTGACAGACTTACAGATCTCACAATTATTTACATATGTCTTAACATCTACCGCTAAGTTTGGCCAAAAGAAAAATTGTCGTATTCTGGCCAAAGTCTTATTAATCCCGCAATGTGATGACAGAGGGCTATCGTGTGCTTTTTTGAGTATGACCGGTATTAGCTCCCGCGGTAACCACAACTTCCATACCAGGTCATCATGAATACGCTCGCCACTAGCATGTTCTGTTCGTCTGTATATAAATCCATCCACTATCCTTAAGTCGGGCATTTGATCAATATTCTCCCCAATTTTAGCGCGAAGTCGTCGGTATTCATCCGATTGGAAGTGTGCAGAACTTAGGTCTACGAAAAACCCTGACTCACTCTCCATAACTGATAGATTTGCTATTCGCAGGGCGGACAGGTCCTCAGTATTGACTCTAGAAAGAGTATCAGGGACTATGTTTAGACTACCACGTCTATGTTGAATCTGAAATTTGTACCCCTGAAGTTTTAAAGCCCACCGAGCCAGCCTTGTACTTAGATCAGTCTGGGACATGAGCCACTTCAATGACGCATGGTCAGTGATGATGGTGAACTCATGTCCTTCGACGAATGGTCTAAACTTTTTAATACTCAGCATTGCTGCCAAGCATTCCTGTTCGGTAACTGAATAATTGCGTTGGGCTTTGTTGAGTTTCTTCGACATAAAGGCGATAGGAACTTCTTCACCCTCCGCATTCTTCTGTACCAATACGCTTCC